TTTTGAACTCTATTTGTTTAAAATGAAATCTATGGATATGTTTGTTTAAATTTTAGAAATTATTTGACAATAATTTTGTAAATAATTATTTTCTATAAGTACCACCACGGGAGTCTCATGCCTTGGGGGACTTAAATAACCATTGACCTCTGTTTGGCTACTTTATGGCCCTCTGTTTGTCATGGATCCATTGACTTCTGTTCTGATTGTCACTCCAGTGACCTCTGTTCTGTTCTGTACGATGATTATGGTTATTTATTTACATAATTTCTATATTTCAGTTTCTGCCACATTGAATAAGTTATTTATTCAAATTAAGTTATGTTAATGTTTTAGCTGAAATAATTATCCATGGTAATTTTTATACCTTCATACTCACTGTATAATATTTTTCACTCTATCATGTGCTTATAGCTATTAACCACTTTCAGGTGACGTGTCAAAACCAGTATATGGGATAGGCACAAGGCACTTTGTAGTCATAGTACAGCTTGAGTATTACAATTGAATAGAAGCTCCAATGTACACATTTTTGTTATACTTAAATGAAGATTTGAGTACCCTTTTATTTTACTCCGCTGCACTATTAATTTGTTATGATTTCAGTTATTATCTTGTTGCGACGCCGAACATCCGAGTACCATATTTGGATCGTGACATGAACCATGGAACACATTTTGCCTAAGGTTTATGATTTTCAACCAAAAAAGATTGTGAGGGGGAATTTCTCTGGGTTGGAGAGAGAGATTTTCTCTGGATTGGAGTGAATTTCTCTGGGGTGAAGGGGAGAATTTCTCTAATTTTGAAAAATTTCTCTGGATTGATGTGAATTTCTTTAGAAATTCCAGTGTTCTTATTTTTCTTTTGCTGATTTCTACGCGGCTAATTTAGTTTTTTTATTTTTTTGGCTATTTTTTTTCAATTGTTTTAGTGTTCTAATTTTGTATCGTTGTCTATTAGGTGTTAGTGCAACTATTTTTTATGATTATTGTTTTTGGGCGTTTTTGGAGTTTTTTATTCTAATTTTTATGTTGTTTTCAACTTTCAATTCATTTGTTTTTATTTTTGTTATTGTGCTTTCCTTTTTTGTTTCTTGGGTGGTTTACTCAATTTCTGTATTTATTAACATCTTTAAAAAAAATAAAATTTAATTGTTTTTCTTGTGTTTTCCAGCTTTTAAGTTGTTGTTTTCAACTTTTTTTATTTAAATATATTATAATTCTTACCATTTTCCCAGCTGGTTAATTAATTTTTTTTTGGGACGTTAATTTTTTTTTTATTCAGCTATTATTATTATTTTTGGCTGTTTTTTGAGTGTTCTCTTCTAATTTTTAAGTTGTTTTCAAATTTCAATTCACTTGTTTTTGTTTTTATTTTTATTACTGTTCTTTCTTTTTTTTTTTTCTTGGGTGTGTTTCCTCAATGTCTGTATTTATTTAGTTTGGTTCTTCTAACTTTAAGTTGTTACTTACAGACCTTAATTTACATTTTACATTTTAATTTAAAATTTTATTTTATTTATTTATTTGTCTTTTCAGCTTTTAAGTTGTTGTTTTCAATTCTTTCATTTTTCTTATTTATTTATTTTTTTTATTCTAATTTTTACCATTTTCCCATCTAGTTGGTTAAGATTTTTCTGGGAGGTTATTATTATTATTATTATTATTATTATTATTATTATTATTATTATTATTATTATTATTATTTTTTTGTTAATGCAGCTATTAATGCAATTGTTTTTCTGTTTTTGTTTTACTCAATTGTTAGTGCAATTTTTTTTGTTTTCTGATTTGAAACTATTTTTGAGTTTTAAGAGGTTTTTTATTGTTATAGTTTTTCACGTGGGTGTGTTCAAGTTATTTTTCTTCTTATTTTTTCATTTTTTTGCATGTACTTTTTATTTTGGTTTTCCTTCTTTTTTTTTTTTTTTTTTTTTTTTTTTTTTTTTTTCTTTTTTGGTTTTTTTTTGTGTTCTAATTTTTCCTTTTTTGTTAGTTAAGTTATTTGTTATTATTGTTTTCAGTTGTTTTATGAGTTTTATAGGTGTAATATAGTTTTTAATTTGTTATATTATTTGTTAATACAAAACTATATATATTTGCTTATTATTTTTTGGGTTTTTTCTGTTTTTATTTTTTTTCTTCTTTCTAATTTTTAGTTTTTAGTGTTCTAATTTTTAAATGAGCTGCTGTTATTGCAACAATTTTTATTATCATTGCTTTTGGGTGGTTTTTTTTGAGTTTTTTCTTCTATTTTTCAAGTTGTTTTCAACTTTTTATTTTTTTGTATTGTACTTTTTATTGATTGTTGTTTTGGGAGTTCTGAGTATTTTCTGTTATAGTTTAAGTTGTTGTTTTCATGTATCATTAGTTTTTGAGTATTATTTTTATTGTTTAATTTGAATGTTTTCTAAGTTTGTTTTTTTTTTTTTACAAATTTGAATATATTTATATTATATTTTTGGGTTCTAATTTTGAAGTTGTGACTTTCAGACCTTAATTAAGCTATTTTATTTATTATTTTATATTTTGGGAGTTTTTCTTTCGTGTTTTAATTTTTTTTAATTGTTTTATATTATATTGTTGTTTAATGCAACATTTTTTATGTAAATTGTTTTTACAACTTTTTGTTTGTTTTCAAGGTGTTCATTTTTTTTCGCATGTATTCTAAATCAAGTGGCGTGGTTTTATCATTTTTGTTTTCTAAATAATTTTTTTGGTCCTAATTATTTTTATATTTTGGGTGTTTTATAAGTTTATTTTTATTTTAATATTTTTGGCCTTCCAATTTTGTAGTTGTTATTTTCAGACCTTTATTATTTATTTTTCGAGGGGTGTTTTCTGTGTTTTTTTTGGTTGCTAATTAAGGGCTTGTTTTTTTTGCTGTTTGCTGTGCTTTTATTTTTTATCAACTATTTGAGTTTTTTCTTCCTAATAAAATTTTAATGCATTTAGGACAAACACAAATTGTTTTTCTTAAAAAGTGCAACACATACCACTGTTATCAAAATATTGAACTTTAAAATAATATAACTTTTGATCTAGATGTCGTTTTTAATAAAATTAGTATTTTTAGAATCCTGTTATCAAGATCTATCAAATAAAATCTATGTTGACTATGAAATTCTAAAATAAAACCACTCTGTTTCACAGTAACATGTTGCTCTGGCAATATTGTCTAAGAAAAAAAAACGATATTTTATTTTGTCTTTGCTCAATTATGCACCTCCTTGGGAGTTTATGAAACAAAATAAATTAAACTGTTATTTTCATCAAATAAGGGTCCAATGGAGGAATATTAACTAAATTTTCCTTTTTCCTTTTGTGTTCTAATTCTTAAATTGTTGTGTATGTTTGTTAATGAATTTTTTTGTTTGTTTTTTTGTTATTGTTATTCAGTTGTACTTTCTATCATTTTGTGTGTTGTACCTTTTTTACATATATTTTTTCAATTCCAAATTGAATAAGTGGAATTTTATCATTTCTGTTTTTTTGAGTGTATTTCTTTTTTATTTTTCATTTTTCGGGATCTAGTTATAAAGTTGTTTTCAGACCTCATGTACGTTTGTGCTGCATACTACCTACTTTCTGTAATAATAATAATAATAATAATAATAAATAAAAACCCACACATTTTCAAACTTATTGTAGCCTTTCTGTAAATAATGAATTATATAGCGAGTTTTGATGTTTGATTTGCAGTGAAGTGTGTGTGTTGAGGGCTTGGAGACACTTGACTAAGAATCACGATACCTTTCTTCCTTTTTCTTGATTTAGAAGGGATTGAAGAATATTTTCAATTTTGAAGGAAAAAAAAAATGTCACAAGAATTCAATAGACTGAAGCTTTCTGTCTCAGAGAAAGCCTTTGAGTTTGGCAATTACAGACAACCAACTGTGGGAGGAAAATTCAATGTGCAAAGGAAACCATGGGATTAACTTGATATAATGGGATCAATCTAAATTAGGGCAAGACTTCTCACTATAAAAAAAGCGCACACTCCTTGAAGGAAATGTATGCCTCAAAGCAACCTCGCAGAACATTACCTAAATGATCTGATTAACATATATTCTGATCTGACATTTGTATTTGGCAGTTTGGTATTTTTCTGATCCTTAATCCTTGTATTATATTCGGATTTTAGGGTTTAATGACTTGAATCTAAAATATTCATTGTACATTAACAAAATAACTCCCCCCGGAAACTCCCAATTCACATTTTGATCAATTTGGTTACAAGATTACCTATTATCTTTTCTGTTTCCAAAACTGAACTCTGAAGGTATGTCTGCCATCTATGCCCATAAAATATAGATCCATGATTTTCATATATTGGGGCGATATATCCTAACAAAGTTTTTATGGGCATCCTTGTATAAACAGAAATATATATCCTGTACTTGCTCTTTATGCAAATAAAAAACAATAAGAACATGGAGAGTTTATATTTTATTCACATTTCACCTATACCTTTTCCATTTTCTTTTCCAAATTTCTCTTCAAATCCCCCAATCAAACACAACATGAAGGTATGTCTGCCATCTATGCCCATAAAATATATATATATAGAATGGATCCATGATTTTCATATATTGGGGCGATATATCCTAACAAAGTTTTTATGGGCATCCTTGTATAAACAGAAATATATATCCTGTACTTGCTCTTTATGCAAATAAAAAACAATAAGAACATGGAGAGTTTCCCTGGCACTTTTTCCTTTTTGTTTTGCACAAAATGGTTAAAACCAGAGGCTGAGTACAAAAACATGCGGGATACAACATAATTTGGAGGGGTTCATCCACTTTGGCAATTCAGGTTGGAATTAAAAAAACACAAAAGATAAAATAAACTAAATAAGTTAACAAGACAAAATGTCACACCCAAATCATAATCATTTTATTTTTTCTCTCACAAAAGTTTTAAAAAAAAAATCAAAAAAAAAATTTCCAAACAACAACTTAGATTACTGTATCATTTCTCTCTGAATCTCTATTTTGCTAAAGAAAAAAAGAAAGCAAAACTTCATTCAAAAAAACATATACATTTTGAAAGAAAATAACTCAAAATCGAATCCAGTTCAGTTCCTCAAATCCAAATCTGTACAGTAAGGAAATGACAGCAAAGCCCTTAGGAGCTATGATATACTGCTACTACTATACAACAAATAATTTCAATTGGCTTTGGATTTACTGCAAACAAATACAACTATAGAATTTTCTACTTTCAAAATTTCTAGTCTTGTACTAACTTCTAGAGAAATGCAAGTAATTCACCTCGGGCCAGAGAGTTCTATGGCTTGCACAAGTAAGGAAGAGTCACTAGTGAGGTCAGAGTAGCGCTCCGACGAGGATAGCTCGTATGGTTTATACTTGGTTGCATCCACTCTCTGAGAAGCTTCCCACCTCTCTGCAAGCCCGTCGCCTTCAAGCATTCTCACCACTTCAGACATCTTAGGTCTGTGGCCCGGAATGTATTGGGTGCACAAAAGTGCCACTTGGACCATTTCCTCGAGCTCAATCCGGTCATAGTTGTTCTTCAAATCCCTATCCACAAGCAAATCAAGCTTCTTCTCTTGATGAATTTTCCTCACCTGCAATCACAACCAATATTCAGAAGATTTAATGAGCTCTCACAAGTAACTTGAGAAATTTCACACCACTTGTTGGAGATGGGTTATTGGTGAATCTCAACAGTTAAAAAAAGTGACCCAGGATACGAGACTTCTACAAAGTGGGGTTTGGGAGGGGTTAACATACGCAGCCTTACCCCGTAATTGAATCATGAAGTTAGTGATACAGTACTTACCCAATCGAGCATTGCTCCTTTCTGGTTAGCTGCCTTGCCAAATTCTAGAGCTCTCTGTCCAGTGATCAATTCAAGGAGGAGAATCCCAAAACCAAATACATCGGTTTTCTCAGAAGACTGTCCGGTGGAGAGATACTCGGGGGCTATGTGGCCTACAGTGCCTCTAACAGCTGTCGTCACATGTGAGTCTTGGTGATCCAAAAGTTTTGCCAACCCAAAATCTCCCACTACTGCCTCGCAATACTCATCAAGAAGTATATTTGCAGCCTTCACATCCCTATGTATTATCTTTGGATCACACTGCTCATGGAGGTACAATAAGCCCCTTGCAGCTCCTAAAGCAATTCTCTTCCTAGTCCCCCAATCCAATATTGGTTTTGCTGCCAAAATTAATGAAGTACTAATCAAGCTATATGGAATCAACTATTTAGAATAGCAATTCATTCACACAGATATCATATCTGAGATATGCTTATGTATATATGGCCTATTTGGTGTGGCTACTAGCAAGCTGAAAGTTGATAATTCAAAAAATAGAAGCTAAAAACATATCTCCCTCTACTTCCCAGATTTCCAAAATAAAAATTATAAGCAGCTGCATAAATTGCACGAAATAGTCTCATCATTACCTTTTAGGCGAGAAGCGACACTGCCATTGGACATGTATGGGTAAACTAGAAGCCTTTCTGTGGCAGTCATAGAAAACCCGTACAGCCTGAGGAGGTTGCGGTGCACTGCTAGGCTGATCATCTCTACTTCTGTCTGGAATTGTCTCTCTCCTCCAACAGCACTGCCATCTTTGAGCCTCTTGACAGCCACGGCTGTCCCATCTCGGAGATAGCCTCTGTAAACGTTACCAAAACCACCTTTCCCTAGTATGTTCTTGCTGCTGAAATTGTCTGTTGCAGCTTGAAGTTCCCTGAATTGGAACCTCCTCAAGTTTCCGAGGGAAACTTCCTCATGATGCCGATCTGAAATTCCCAAAAGTCATTTAGTAATAATGATCCATTTTATACCTAATATCCACCGTTGATATTGATTTATAGCGCTCTATTTAACCCATTTTTTTTCAAATTTTACATACCCTTAACATCAAAAAAGATCTGTTGGTTTTGTCTTTGCCTCCACTGTAACAGCAGCCCAAAACCAAGGATGAGCAAACAGATGAAACCGAGGGCTAATCCCAAGGCAAGGGCAACTTTGTGACTTTTTGGTCTCTCAATAGGCGATCCAGCTTCACAAAATATAGAGAATTAGGTCATGAATAATACAAGGAAATGTGGGATTGTTGAAATATTAACTAACGAAAATCAGAAGAGCTGAGAAGATAACAATGCATTTGAGGTCCATAATTCAAAATATCCGAAAGAGTTTGGAGTTTGTTCAAGATAGACTAAAGAGAGAGTAAAAAAAGAAACAAAGAAACAAATAAGTGAAATATAGAGAAGTTTTTATTCAATTCCATACTTTCTGAGCTATTCAATGGCATGGACATCGGCATCAATGTGGTTCCATAGCAATCTTTTTCTGACCCACAGATCAGAGGATTTCCAACAATGCTGCAATCACAAAAGAAACTAGTCCCTCAGAGAGAAGTTCAGATAGCCAAATTATTAATAAAAAATAATAATAATAAAAAGAAAGAGATATGGAAGAACCGGTTACTTGAATGTTTTAGCAGGAAATCTGGGTACAGGCCCACTCAAATTGTTGAAAGACAAGTCTCTGCAAAGAACAAATCCATGGAATGTCTCAAGACCATTCTTTTGATGCACATTTCAACAGATAAACAGAGACTGTGTATGGATTATACAAAAAAGTTCAAGAAATTTACAGTAAGGCAAGCTGGGTAATGTTGGCTAACGACAATGGTATTGCTCCAGAGAGACTGTTATTGTTAATCCTCCTAAATCAAGTTCAGTAAAACCCATGTCAAACTTAAAATTATACCTCTAAATATAATCTTTTAAAAATATAAAATTTAATGCTTACATGTATTGGAGACTTTTCAGGTGACCAAGAGAAGACGGAACTTCGCCGGTGAAGAAGTTATTGGAAAGATCGAGTGTGATGAGCTTTGAGAGCCTTCCAAGCTCTGGTGGAATTGGTCCTGTAATGTTATTGTTCTGTAACAGTCTGCAAAACACAAAAAACAAAAAGAAATTAACATTCCAATTTTAAAATATTCTAAAAATTGCCTATGAATATGTGATATACATATTTGGGCAGCAACACTCACACAATCTGAAGATTTGTTAAGTTGCCTATGCTTGGAGAGAGAGTACCAGATAAATTCTGGCTTGGAGTCCCCCTACAACAACACAAGAAGACCATGTTTGAAAGGATTTTTATTATTTTTCATTGTGGAAGATATGTATCTGATAGTCCTTGTTTGGATGAAAAGAAAGATGGGTTTAGTTTGAATAGGGACTTACAGGCCAATGACCAGATTCTCAGAAGAACAAGTGACCATAGCCCAGCTACATGGATCAACAGAGTCCCCATCCCAATTATCAAGAACACCATGAGGATCCACCAGAGAAGCTTTTATACCCATTAAAGCTTGCACTGAAACAATAAAAACCCAGATCAAAAAACTCCAAATTTTCCAACTTTGAGAACCCGAAAATCAAGAAACTTCAAGAAAAGCCAAAAATAATCCACTTACCTTCAAAGTTCACACCTTTAGGAGAAAGCATACCATTGACAGAAGCCCAAAACAAGAAAAGAGTTAGAAACCTGAATGCATCCTCTGTTCTTCTTCCTTTCATTTCTGTTGATTTTCAGAGAAACAAAAGGTACCCAGAAGCCAAAACCAGCTTATTTTGAATGAGAAAGCTAGTTTTATGACCAAGCTGCAATAGGGTTTGTTTGGTTTAATGTAATTTCCAGATCAGAACCCATTATTAACCCACCTCTAGCTTTCCTTTCCATGCCAAATCCATCCCACTAAAACCTTCTGTCAGACCCAAGAAAAAAACATGGCCTTTATGTACCAATAAAGTGAACAAGCATGCCTGTCACTGGGTCAGGGCATTACAAAGAAAAGAATATATTATTGTTGCCTTGAACTCCATTAACAAAATTACAAAAACTATGTAAAATTCAAAAGGTAAAGGAGAGTAATTGTAGAGTATGAGAATTTCTTTTCATATTCCCAGAATTTAAATTCAAAAAAGAAATTGCAAAAGACAAAAGAAAGCAATATATATTATGGATGCTTATATAAACAACCGCATTTCTTCACGGGTCAGTCTTAGTCATCTTATTTCCTGGAATACTATAATTACAAAGATCATTCATCCTTAAAAACAAAATTGGTACAGCGTGTCCTAATGCCATAAGAGGAATTAAAACTTTCACTGTCTTAAAGACAAAAATCATATATAGAATTTCATTATTTATTGTTTCGGCATTTGGGGATTGCTTTTATCTAAATTCCTTAAATTATGGGATGTGATTTAATTGTATAAATACATGTATATGAGTTGCTCAAACATAAATACACGTACATGAGTTTGCTAGAAACCTTGTAACAACAACAATCTTAGGAATACCAAACAAAGAACTAAACAAGGTTTTACAAGATTTTTTTTTGTGAAATTCATTTTTCAAAAATCCTACTCATCCATCTATTTTTTGGTCATTTTTTGATAAAATCATATTTTATCAAAAGTCCTACTAACTCATATTCTTTTTGAGTATTCCATTAAGTCCTGTTTGATGTAATTTACCAGATCATCCTTTCTAATTTTTTACACAAGTTTCTATTTTGAAACTAATACATAGTCTCTCATTTTATAGAGAAAATATCTCCCTCATTCTAAAGAGAAAATCTTTCCTTAATTCCATGGAGAAAATCTCTCCCTATTCTAAGCAGAAAATCTCTCCCACATTCCATGGAGAAAATATCAAATTATGAACTTTGAACATTTTTATAATTTGAAAATTTTAAAAATAATGTAACAAAAAATCTGAATGAAAATCAAAATGAAATGTGAATGTTCATAGTAAACAACAAACAAACAACTAACTTTTGAAAAAACAAAATACATACTAGATTACAATGTGAATGTTCACAATAAACAACAAACATACGACTAATCTTCGAAAAAAAAATTATACCAAAATACAATGTGAATGTTTACAATTTATAATTAACTTAACTAACCTTAAAAAAAAAAAAAAACTCATACCAATATTAACATTCACACCGAAACATGAAGACATAAAAGAAAATAAAATAAAGTAAAAATCGACTATTTCGATTGTTCAATGGTTACAAAAATAATTGCTCAACCAACAAACATAGTAAAACAAATAACAAAATACAACTAACTTTAAAAAAAAATTTAAAACAACTCATACCAAAATACAATGTGAATGCTCACAATTTACAACTAACATACAACTAACCATAGAAAAACTAAGGTAGCGTTTGATAGAGTTTTAGAATTATGATTTGATAATAGAGTTGTGTTTTGAGTTTGTGAGTTTTGAAATTATGATTTGAGTGTGAAAATTTTGTTTGGTTATGAGTTTTGAAAAGAGTTTTGAATTGAGTTTGAAAATTTTAATATGACATATGATATTTGATTCAAAAACTTACAACTCATAAACAAACACACAACCTAAAATTCTATTCAAAGCTCATACAAGAAATTAAAAAATTCTGAAAATATTTTTTATTTAAAATATAAAAATAACAGGTACCCAAAAAAAATACTAATACTGCTCAAATCAACTAGTCGGATGTCCAGGGGACGACCGAATAGACATGTTTTCAAAAGTGACCGTGAAATCAATTTTTGAAAATTCTAACCAAACACCACACTCAAACCAAGAGGTGGAATTAAATTTGGAAAGCTCTACCAAACAAAGCCTAAACTCATACCAATGTGAACATTCACATTGAAACATGAAAACATAAAATAAAATTAAAAAAAAAAAAGCATAAATCAACTATTTCGATTGTTCAATGGTAACAAAAATGATTATTCAACCAACAAACATAGTAAAAAAAAACCTAAATACAATTAACTTTTGAAAAAGTTTCAAAAAAAAAATACACTCATACCAAAATACAATGTGAATGTTCACAATTTACAATTAACATACAACTAACTTTAGAAAAACAAAATTCATACCAATATGAACATTTACACTGCAACATGAAACAAAATTGAAAGAAAAAAAAAAGAGAGACTATTTCGATTGTTTAATGATAACAAAAAAATAATTATTCAAATAACAGGCATAGTAACAAATAACCAATAATGGCGCTGTTTGACAAGGGCTATTTTAGCCTATTTTAGGCTAAAATTCACACACAAAAAAAAAAAAAAAAGTTAAAATAGCTAATAAGATAAAATGTGACATCAAACCCATAATTATTTCACTTTTTCTCTCACAAACATCACATTCAACTAAAAAAAATCCAACAATCTTTCCAAACACAAAAATTTTAGCCTACTAAAATAGTCAAAAACTAAAATAGCTAACTTCCCAAGCAAAGCCAATATGTAAACATTCACATCTTGTAAAATATATAATTATGTTCATATCTATATTCTAACACTTATTTCTTAGACTTTCAAATAATGTGAAATGTGAATATTCACATTGATTGACAAAAAAATAAAAAACAATGGCAGTAATAGGATTAGAAATCCAAAAAAAATTCAATCATTTTAAAAAGAAAACAATATCACCCGTATCCTCATCTTTATCATTATAACTGTCATTAACAATTTATTCAATTTCACAATTCTACCAATCCAAATCAAACCAAATCCATCTTTGAAAAATATGTTTGTAACAAAATTGATTGGATATAAACAGAGTTTAAACTTACAACAATGAAAAAACATAAAGTTCCGAACAGAGCAACAATAGAAGAACACAGAACTACGAACACAACGTGACGATGAAAGAATACAAAGTTTCACCGCAACCATGGAGGAATATAATATTATTTCACCACCATATGTAAATTAAAGTTTCTAAACCCTAGCGAATAGAGAGTTTCGAATCCCTGACACAATGAAACAATAATACAAATATGAATAAAACTGATAAAAAAAAACGTAAATAATAATAACTACCAAAATAGACGTAGCGATAAAAAGAAAATGTATATGTCATTTTTCTAAGTAATATATATCAATAATAGACATAAAGGTATAATAGTCTAACAAACAAAATAAATCAAGAAAAAAAAAATCATGAAATAAAAATATAAATATAAATACATGAGTAAGTTGTAATTTTTATTAATGAACTTATCAGGTTAGAATATTTCTAAACAAAATTTATTAATAAATTTTTTTTTTATTTTTTTTAATTGATTTTTATATTTCTAGATTTATTCTTGTAACAACATTCCCTGAGCTCGGCCATTTGTTAATGTCCGGAATTTATTACTTTATCTAGGAATATCTCGAGGGAAGGGGGCTTGAGATTGATGACCATGACCATGACCATGGGTGAGAGGATCTTTGTTGGATGTTATTATTTTTTTCCTTTTTATTTATTTATTTAATATTATTGTGTAGATGTTGCACTTTTTAGGGGGGTGAGGTGAGAGGTGGGGTGTACTTTTATTGATTCCACAAACCACTTTCATGTAACACTGACGCATGACACACACACCCCTCTCTTCTTCCTTCAGCAGACAGTCATTCCAAAAACAACTAATCAAAAAGAGGATTAAAACACTTTAAAAACCAAAAGCTGCCATGCCCATCTCTCTCTGCCCATCTCTATCTCCTTTTGTTTTTTAAGCCCAACTAATGATTTTTTTTTATTGGGGTTTGTGTGGGGTAAATTTTTCACGCGGTAGAAAACAAGATGATTTGGTGCCTACCTTCGAATTCAAGCAAAAAAGCACATCCGGTAAAAATTGCCCGATTGAAAATTTTCGGCCCAAATGGGAGATTTGATGCCAATTTTGTGAAATGTGCTTTTTTTGATAGGAATATTGAAAAAGAATTTATTTGTAGTGCTACAGATTGTTCAGATCTCTTTCCTCTTGCTGCGTTTTTTTTTTTTTAATACAGTTGAGTGTGTCTTATTTCCCATAGAATGTCTTCATGAAAACGGCTTAGCCATTTTCCCTGTGTTTGCAAATTTTTATGATGCCGCTCATCGTCAAAACGTCAATTGAGCTAATGGATGAAATGATTTTGTACTCTCAACTTCTCCTTGCTTCATTTAATCCATGATATCCACGTAAATTTATTTGATACACTATTTTTTACCATCGATGCTTGGTTTGGGATGTTCTAAAAAAGTGTAATTTTTGACTTATTGGCTTATATGGGTTGAGTTTGGGTTGGGTTTGATGTGATGTGTTAGAGAGGTGATGTCATTTAAATAAGATGATGTGACTTAAATAGGATAGTGACTTTTTGACTTTTTGTATTATTTAGGTTATGCCAAACTTGGCCAAAGTTTCGAACACAGAGTAACAATGGACGAGCATAGAACTTCGAACACAAAGTGACAATGAACGAACATAAAGTTCCATCACAACAATGGAGGAATATAATATTATTTCACCACCATGTGTAAGTTAGAGTTTCTAAACTCTACCAAATAGAGAGTTTCGAAACCCTAACACAATGAAACGATACCACAAATATGAATGAAACTGATAAAAAAAGAAAAACGTGAGTAATTGTAACTACTAAAATAGAGGTAGCAACAAAAAGAAAATGTGTATATCATTTTTCTAAGTAATATATATCAATAATAGACATAAGGGTATAATAGTCCAACAAACAAAATAAATCAAGAAAAAAGGAACTCATGGAATAAAAATAAAAATATAAATACATAAGGCTAATTAAGCTATAATTTTTATTAATGAACTTAGGTGGTGTTTGGTTATCATTTTGGACTAAATAATCATAAAAAGACCAAAAAAAAAAAAAGGTCAAAAAATCAAAAATCACAAAAAGACAAAAAAAAAATTCCACTATTCTAAAGTTCCAATCAAAAAAATCAAACGAACAAAAAAGTCTCAACTTAAAAAAGTCAAAAAAATAATTAAAAAAATCATTGTCAAACGAAGACTTATTAGATTAGAATATTAATAATTTTTTTTTTAATTAATTTTTATATTTCTAGATTTATTCTTGTGACAACATTCCCCGAGCTCGGCCATTTGTTAATGTCCTGAATTTATTACTTTATCTAGGAATATCTCGAGGGAAGGGGGCTCGAGATTGATGACCATGACCATGACCATGAGTGAGAGGATCTTTG